CGACAGTGACGATGGAGCGCAAAGCTCCGAGGATTGAGCCGAGCACCTCTGGGTATTCTTCTCCAAGATATTCGTAGAGAACAATACCAAGTTTGCCCATGAGCGCATCCTCGCCGCACTGCTTCATGACCATAGCAATCCGAGACACCAGGTCGGCTGCTTGTTGTCGGACAGTGGCGGATTTGTTGTTCAGACGCCAGAGAATTGTGCTGACGATCTGCGGAAGGTATGGCTTGCAACGGGTGCCAAGGGCGTTAACCACCGAGCCAAAGCCGTTGAGCATAACAATGTCTTCCACGCTTTGTTCCTGGAAGGAATGCAGGATGCCGTCGATGAGCCGCTCCTCCAGTCTCTCACCAATGTCGGCCGCGCCGAGCGAAGCCACCATCTTCTCCACCGTTTCCACCGTCATCTTGCGGTAGGCTTCGCTCTCGTCCTTGAGGTTGGCTACGATCCGCTCCAAGATCTCGCTGACGCCCACCTTCTGGCCGATGTCAACTGTGGTCTCAACCACTTGCCTGTAGTTGCGCTTGTCGAGAGCCATCCGACGGACCCAGAAGCTCTTGAAGAACTCGTCCAACACATGCTCTTTGAGATAGCCAGCGGTGACACCATCTGTGGCAGCACACTGCGAGATGACCTTCAGAACAACCTTTTTCATCTCTTCGTCGGGCGAGGAGAACTCGCGCAGGAGAATCTCCATAATCTGACTTGTGTAGTAATTGGCGTAATCTTCGTCCATGAGGGGAATGATGTAGCCCACCGCCTTCAAAAAGCCCGCCAGGCCTTTTCCTCGCTGCTTGCGAGCGCCGGTCCAGAGTGGGTTGAGAATGTCATCGAAACTCTCGATACCGTAGGGGTTCGAAGCCTCGGCCAGAGCCGCAATGGCAAGACTGGTTACTGTCCGCACCTTGGTCTGTTCATCGTTGAGGTTTGGTCCGATACAGTCGACCAGGCGTTTGAGGTGAGGCAGAACCGCGCAGCCCATAAGAATTGGGATTTGTTGGACGATCTTGACACCTGTGTGGCGGGCCTGCCACGATTTCTTGCTGCGGCAGACGGCTTGGAGGAATGGCAAGAGGGCGGGAATGCCAAGTGCTGATGCAACAACAGCAAAGGCTCTGGCTGTAGTGTTTCTGACGTACTCATCCACATGGTCGATATCTGGCCTCATGACGCTGATCATCGTGGCGAGACCTGCGGCCTTGCTGAGGTTGGAGATAATCTCGCGACCCTCAACACGCGCGTAGTAGTCCTGGTCAATGAGCAGAGGCTCGATGACGACTAGGATCTTGTGAACGTAGGGGCGGACCATATCGTCCAGCTTGTAGAGGATACGATCAATAACCTTGACGAGCAAGTGACGTTCCTGGTCCTCCAGCGTCTTCTCCATGAGCAGGGGAAGAATCTGGTTGAAGAGGGGTCCAGCACCGAAGTTTCGCGCATTATCTGTGAGTTGTCTGAGCGCAGTCTTCCTCATGGGAGGAGTACCATTTTTGACCTTCAACAGAAGACGCATAATCTTCCTCTCCTTGAGTTCCTCGACACTCAAGCTATCTTCGTCGGAACCGTCAGTCAGTTTGCCAAAGTAGGCCATGTCTTCCGGTTTGAAGAACTGGAGATCGCCGACTCCGGGAATCTCTTTCGGGACTTGCTGTCCGCTGAGCCGTACAGAATCCGGGTCCTGCATCATGAAGCCTGTCGCCGGGGTTGGTGGTTGCATCAGCTTGTGCGCTGGTGCTCGCACCGGTGCGTACCCAGGAGGAAACTCGAGAATCTTGTATCCATCGTCCGGACCAGGGAGCATGGCGTCGAGCTCCTCATCACTCAGGGGCATGTAGCGTCCAGCCGCGTCCGTCCCGAATGTCGTGGGAAGCACCACTCCTTGCGATGGGTGCATAGGCGTAGCAAGACCAATATTTCCGATAGGTGTGGCGGAGGGTGCCTGGTCCCATCTCGATGACTTCTTCTTGGCCTCGCCTCCGAGGGGCGCAACTGCAGGTGCTTGGTCCCACCTCGACCTTTTCTTCGCCTCTGCTGTCGTCTCGGCCGCCTCATCCGTGGAGGCCACATCCCACCTCTTCTTGCGCTTGCGGCTCGCGGCAGCCACCTCCGTCGAGCCAGAGTCCTGGTTCTCCTTGTCGCCAGCCTCTGTGAGTGTGGGAACGTGCTCTTCAACAGGGCCGTCCTTCGCCTTCTGCTCGATGGCCCGCCGTACACGCTCCTCCTCCCGCTCAATCTCTCGCCTCTCCATGATCTCGCGATAGCTCTCTCCATCCTCAGCGGCGCCTGCCTGGCGGTTCGCAGCGAAAGGGTCGGCGCGCGTCGGCGTCAGGACACGATCGAAGCGGCGTTTCTGATAGTCGGTCTCGCGGTCAGAGATGCGGTTGCTCTTTTCGCCGCGTCCAGCCAGGATGTCCTCCTCCTCGACGCCATTTCCCCTGGCGAACTCGTCTATCTGGGCGCGGGTTGCCGTGTACTGGCCGACCAGACGGCGGCCGGCGTCGGCATCCTCCATCTCGTCATCGTCGTCGCCGCCATTGTCGGCAGGCAGGGAGGTGTGGTAGCCAGCGAACTTGTCGCCGTTCTCGCGCTCGTAGAGGTCGGTGTCCCAGGCTTCGCCGAGCTTGGCCTTGGTGGAGGAGTCAGCACGCTGGTTGGCGGGATCGAAAGTCCGAGAACCTTTCTTGGAGGCCGCGACAGCGTTGCGCTCAGCCTGGAGCTTCCTGATCTGCTCAAAATCCGCGTCCGACATCTTGGAGATCGCGCTGCGTTCGGGTCATGACACGTTGGGGGGTCATCCGCGTAGTCGTGAGTGATGCGCTTCTTCGATGTTCGATTCTTTCGGTTTCGTTGCAGGCGAGGGCGGGATGCGTCGTGATGGATTGCTGGTGGCCGTGATTGTTGTTGTTGCTGGATGGGATTGCGCTTGAAATTTTGCGGAGCGAGCCAAGCGAGCGACGTGAACCCCGGTCGAGGCTACAGCGCAAATTCTAGGTAGGTGGCGTCCAGATAAACTATCTACTTATGTAAGCAAGAGCCGCCCCAAAGCTCAGGTAGGTCTCGACCAACGAGCTCGACTGCATTTGATCTCAGCTTCCTTTCATCAATCACCTTCAGCTCACTCAGTTCCGTCTCTCCGCCACCAACCTGCGGAAATGGGGCAGCACATGCGTTGCTTTTGCTTTCCCTGAGTCCCGGCAGCAATGGAGTCCAACATCTCGGTTTATGCCGAGCTGCGGTCGTATATTCGGACGATTTCAGTGGCCGTGTCGCTTCCGAGTCTAAGCGACTCCTCAACTCGCCTCACCGTCGCTGCTGATGGTCTCAACGTCCGCGTTTCCCACCACGGCGAAACCCGCCAGCTGAGACTGCCAGGAAAGACTTCGCTTGGTGTCGCATCTCTTCCGGCACAAAAGCAGGGCGTCCCGATTGTGGAATGGCGATTGCCTCTCTCTCCAGAAAGCGCGTCTCAAGATTCGGCATTGCAAGAGACCACACAGCTGTGGTCGGCGACCGATCTGGAGGCTGGATCCAGTGCCGAATGCAAGAAATGTGGCGCCACCGTTGTCAAGGACGGTGCAGTGGCGTGGAAAGACCTCCCCAGTGAAAACTGGGCTGAAATGATGGACTTTTGGCATTGCCACAAGCCTGCTGACCACGGACACTCCCATGACCACAGCCATGGTGGAAAGGCAGACGAAGCGAGCCTTGCCGCACGAGGATACGGTGCATCGTCAACAATTTCTGCTCAAGATGGCATCGGCTTCGTGGATCTCACCACTTTGCTCTTTTCTGAGAGCGACTGCCAGGGTCTCACGGTAGGTTTTCCATGTGTCCCCTTTGTTGTCAAGCCCTCACCTGGGCCCCCAACCCTATCACGACTGGGCATCAAGAAGGTAGCCGGGTCGACTTTTGTCATCAATGGCGTGGATACCGATACAACTGCCCCAGATCAAACCACATGCCGTCTTTTCCTGCTCTGCAGGCCTTCATCTGGTGACGAACCTCCCCACGGAAGGTTTGTCTCCATTTGACGGACGACGGGCCTCCATCTTTCACCGGGTTATTCACAAGTTGAGAATACAACGGGATTAGGAGAGGGACATGCCTTTCTGCTCAAACTCCAATATCCCACATCAGTCAGTTGCTGATTCAGGGCCTTAGTTCTCTCTTTCGGGCTTTGAACAAGGATCCACAAACAGGGAGGACCTGATGGAGACACAGTCTCACAGCCTCAACGTTTTCTGCTCGTCCTGCCAAACACAACTAGGGTTCTTCAACTTTAGAGCCGCGGCTGTCACCCTGCTCAAGTGGCAGGTGTCTTGCAAGTCAGCTTCCGGCATACTCCCTGATGTCTCAGAGTGCCTTGCAGCAACTATCTCCTCCACGATAGCCCGGTCTGGCTCGTCCAAGTCCCTCATAATTCCGGTTGCGGGCAGCTCAGAAAAAGCAGACCAAGTAATTCACGTTTGGGTGATGCTCAGCCGGGGAATCGTCTATTCAACCAGCGCAGTTGAGGGCTGTACGCCAGCGATCAAGCTCTTCTATCAGCTGATCAGCCAAGAGGAAGCGGACAAGATGCTGGAGGAGATCATGTGTGATGCACAGGAGATTAATCTCCCCGTTTCTGGCATCAAGGATGTCATCGGTCACCTTGAAGACAGCAACATACTGTTGCCGGCCTCCGAGAGGAGATTCAAGGACTGGAAGGTCGGCTTGCTGAAGCGATGAGACAGATGCATCCACGTTGTGGTTTTCGATTATCTGGGAAATGGTCTTTTACCATTCCAGTTCCAGCCAGAGACTTATCATACACAAAAATACAAAAAATAATACAACTCAACTCCCTGGAGCCGCATTTGCCCCTGACGAACCCATCCCGCCACCACCCTCCCAGGCTGACTGCCAACCCCAGCCATTTCACGCCGTATCTGCCATCTCCCCCCTCCCAACAAATCCCAGCAAAAAGAGATTGCCGCCCTTGTCAGGCAAACCACTGGACGAGCTGGGAATCGAACCCAGGACCTTTCGCATACTGGGTATGCTAAGCGAACGCTCTACCAACTGAGCCACACGCCCTGATTTGTTGTTGTGGAGGGTTCGTGGAGTGCGTTTCGAAGGGGCGGGTTGGTGATGGTTGTGGGTGTGGGTCGGATGGTGGAGGTGGGTTGTTTGGGTCGGGGATGCTGGTTTGGATGGGTGGGGGTCTGCTTGTCGATGAGACTCGGTCAAAGGTTGCTGGACTGTGCTGAAAGTCTCGCTGTTCTCGGACATGCGGTTTGTATGAAGCTGTCCTTGGAAGCTACCAGTGATGTACTTTTCTAAGCACGTGTCTTCACCCGCTTGCTAGATCTTGTACGCCTTGCGTTCGTTTCCCCATCACTCTCGTTCTCTGATTTGACGACCTTTGCCTCCACTGCTGCTGTTTTCCGCTTCTTGATGCGAATGCTGGCAGTCGTACTGAGACCGCTGTTGCTTTCCTCAATTTTCACTTCGACCTTCGCCACAAAAGCCTCCTCTTTGATAACTAGCTTCTTACCAGAAGCCTGCTCGGCAAATGACTTGAGGTTGGCTGTGAAAAGAACGCTTTGCGCCCAGCCAGCTTTCGGTCCCCAAATCTTTCGGAAGTGGTCGCCAACTGCGTCGTACATTGTCTTGTTGAACGTTTTGCTCTTTGTGCCTTTTCCAAAGGAGTAATCCCGCTGGGCAATCTGCCAGACGTGCGTATCAATGGGGACGGATTCCCACCAGCCGAGTCCCATCAGGCAGACACAGTCAGAGACTTTGGGGCCAACCCCTGAGAGTTCCAAGAGAGCCTCGTGAGCGGCTTTGTAGGTTGGCGGCTCAATTTCAGCTTTGCTGTCTGTTATTTCCGGCTTGGTATCTGCCACATCTAGCGAAGGGCAGCCTGGGTTCCTCAAGCTCTCAAGCCAGCCGACTGGTCGTTCCGTTGACACGATTCTCGCCGTCTCCGCGATATACTTTGCTCTGTAGCCGAAGCCTAGCTCACGGAGATGGGATTCCACCCCGTTGCCTGCCAGTGCTTCTGGTCTTGGGAAATCATGGAACGCTTCGCCCTCGACCGTCCCAACATAGGGTCCGTAATGAATACACAACTTGTGTACCATTTGACTGATTCGTGAGATGTTGTTGTTGCTGGAACATATGAACGCAACAAGTGCCTCCCAGGCATCCTGGTTGAGAATGCGGATTCCGGTGAAAGCGGGGGCACGACGGGCAAAGTTGGCATCTGAGGCGGCCCATTCTTGGTACATTTTTGACAAGGACTGCGACAGGACAAAGTAGCGGTGCAGAAGAGAGACACCGCAGTCTTCATCTGTGGCTTTCAGCTGTGCAGGTGGTGTCTTCTCGGGCCAAGTGAACCTGTAGTGGAGATGTGTGGGATCTTGCTTCAGTGAAACAAGGCGGCCTTGAAGGACGCAGTGCCTAGTGAGTGTCAGACAAGCTGCAAAAAATGACCAAAGTGTGCTCGTGATGGCAGAATAAAACAAACCATTCATCGTTTATTCTTCGCCATCTGAATGACTGGCCGCATCGCAAAGTCGTGTCGATGCATAACTCAGCGAGGCTCAGGGGGAGCTTTCTCCATTCTGGCATGTTGTGGATTCGGTTGCTTTCGGGTTCACGGCAGCAGTAAGTTGGACGTGAAGCAAAAAATAAAATCGGCCTCGAAGGGCCTGAAATTGGTGAATTCTTGATGAGTGGAATCACATCAGCTTGTGATCTTCAGGTAAGGAGCTCTCTGTTGTTGCCACCTGTGAGGTGGTGAGGCTTAGGGGCTGAAATATGCGCTAATCCGAAACGGGTATCGGGCGATTTTAGCATCTGCGAGCCTCAGAAAAGTTCCAGTCGCGACAGGCAGTCTGGGCATCTTGCGAAATCATTGCATCCGCATTTCTCAACACGTCGAGCACCAACATTTGGCGGTGCACATATCGCATCATTCCAAAAGCCCGCCAAGTGCAGTCACGATGAACGGAGATAATTACTCCTCTCGGGGTTCGTATGCTGCGCCTTTGGCCGGCCAGGCTGGAGCTAACCCCAAGGAAACAGACAGTGGCAGACACGGGTCGTCTCGCGACTACCAGGTGAGTCCCTGCCTCCAACCCCCAATTCTTTTCCCTGCAATTCACATGCTGATACTGCTGTAGTCCTCTAGGAGGGATCGCGACGACAGACGTGACCGGGGCGATCGAGGCGACCGAGGCGACCGTGGAGACAGAGGCGATCGTGGCAGCGGCCGTAGGAGGTCCCGTTCACCCGACTACCGCAACAGGTCGCGCCGCGAAGACGGCGATGTCGACGCCTACTCTTCAAGCAGAAGCCACCGTGACCGCGAGCGTGAGGACCGCTACTCCTCGGGCCGCGACCGTCGTGGCCCTGATAGGGATCGGGAATGGGACCGGGAGCGCGGCGCAGGCAGAAGCAGACGCGACGACGATGATGGAAATCGTCGCAGAGACAGACCGGATCGCGACCTGATGGATGACCGACGTGCATCTCGAGGCGGTCCGCCACGCGACCGAGAGGCAGACAGGGAGCGCCGGCGGAGCGCTTCGCCGCCCCCGAAGAAGCGAGAACCCACGCCTGACCTGACCGATATCGTTCCCGTACTCGAACGAAAAAGGCGTCTTACACAGTGGGATATAAAACCACTTGGTTACGACAATGTCACAGCTGAGCAGGCGAAGCTCTCTGGCATGTTCCCTCTGCCCGGTGCCCCGCGCCAGCAAACCGTGGACCCAACGAAGCTGCATGCTATGATGAGCCAACCCGGCGGTGGCGTCAGTAATGCTGCGCTGAAGCCAGGCAACTCTCGCCAGAGCAAGCGGCTCATTATCACAAACTTGCCGGCATCTGCGACGGAGGACAGTGTGGTGCAGTTCTTCAACCTCCAACTAAACGGGCTGAATGTCATCGAAGGATCGGACCCCTGCGTGGCCTGCCAGATCTCTCCCGATCACAGCTTTGCGATGCTCGAATTCAGGACCAGCGCAGATGCCACAGTAGCCTTGGCCTTTGACGGCATCACGATGGAGGCGGACGACGCCCACAACGGGAATGGCAACGGGGCGGCCCCCAGCGGCTTGCAGATTCGTCGCCCCAAGGATTATATCGTTCCGGCAGTGGTCGAAGACCCGAACTACGACCCTGACTCTGATGTTCCTTCAAGCGTTGTTATTGACAGCCCGAACAAGATCAGCGTTGCCAACATCCCTCCATTTTTGTCCGAGGACCAGGTCATCGAGCTTCTCGTCAGCTTTGGTAAGCTGAAATCGTTCGTGCTCGTGAAGGACAGGAGCACCGAAGAGTCTCGGGTAGGTCGCTTGACTATCAACCTATATTGGTAATAACCAACTAACCAAATCGCAGGGCGTTGCCTTCCTTGAATATGTTGACCCTTCAGTCACTCCCGTGGCTATCCAGGGCCTCGACAAGATGGCGCTTGGACAGCAGCCTCTGAGAGTCCAGAAGGCTAGCATCGGTGCTACCCAAGTTGCTGGAGAGATGAGCGTCAACGCCATGTCCATGCTCGCAGGCACCACCGCTATTGACGGTGATGTCAGCCGGGTCGTCCAGCTTCTGAACATGGTGACGCCAGAGGAGCTCATGGACAACGATGACTACGAGGGTAAGTTGACCGCCCCATACCTTTCCCCGTCCAAGAGGGTGTGCTGACATACCGCGCAGAAATTCGTGATGATATCCAGGAGGAATGTGAGAAGTTCGGCAAGATTCTCGCACTGAAGATCCCAAGACCCGTAGGCGGAAGCCGACAGTCGGCTGGTGTGGGCAAAATCTTCATCAAGTACGAGACGCCAGAAGCCGCAACGAAAGCACTGCGCGCTCTGGCGGGCAGAAAGTTCTCCGACCGTACTGTCGTGTCAACGTATTTCCCAGAGGTAAGCGACCCGAAAATTCGACATAGGATCCGATGCTAACGAGGATGTAGGAAAACTTCGATGTTAGTGCATGGTAAGGGAGGGAATGACGGAGGCGCGATATGTAGAGCAGGAGAGTATTGCGCGGCGGCATACCATCGACGGCATCGTTTGACGGTTGGTTATGGCCCGGCAAACCAGGACCAGGTTTCTGCCTGACATCAAAGCTAGGGATTTCTCATAAACGCAAGTGCTTCTGCGATGTACAAGTATTACTGGATGGAACAAGGGCAGCGCTGTGCGAAGCCGGCGCTTACAGATAAGGGGAAAAGCCAGAATGGTTCTCCGCTACGAATGTCCAGTGTTCGACAAGCGATGGAATTCGGCTTCAAAGGTACTCAGTGGCTGCAAGGATTCAGACATGTCACAGCAGTGTCAACAGATAGTGTGGAATGAAAGATGATGTATTTTCTACTATGTGAACTAAAAACCCAGAAATTGTCTGTTTTGAAAACCTATTGATAGACTCGTCAGCAAATGGACACGAAAAAGTATCTAGGTTGAAAGATGGTTGGAGTCCAATTTGTTCAGAAGTCCTTTTCATTCATTGGGTTCCGAAGAACCCTAACATAAGAGGTACCAGAATAAAATTGTAACGTTGTGAATCATCATTAAATTGGAGAGCGAAAGGAGATGAGCGAGATAACTTACGGGAGGAGTGAAGCTGTGAGCGATGGAGGTGAGTATGAGGGATCCCAACTTGGAGGGTATGGCCCAAACTTATCGCTAGACCACTGGAGGACTGGGCTTCCTGAGTCCATAGATCCAGCTCGCCAGAAGGGCACCAATTTCCTGGAATGCTGAGGCCGCGGATGTCGTCTGCTTTAGGGCGAGGGCCGCCTTGCACATCTTGCATGCGCCGGTTTTCAACGCGGTCGACCGTTCCCTCGAAGCCGAGACACCAGGAGCTCGCATGCGTCACAAATCGCGCCCTTTTGATCGAGGAAGACCGAAGGATGTTTTGCAGCTGCGAAAGCTTGGTTTGCAAAGTTGAAGGACAGGAAAGAAAAATCGCGGTTTTATGGGTCGAAGTCCCCCCAAAAAATTGGGATCACGCACGACCGCACGTGCTGGGTGGATACGCTCCCAGCCAATCAGAGCATGACCCTAATTCCT